ATGTAGTATGTATGTATGTGTGTGAGTATGTATGTATGTATGTATGTGTGTATATATATTTATATATATATATGTGTGTGTGTGTGTGTGTGTGTGTGTGTGTGTGTGTGTGTGTGTGTGTGTGTGTGTGTGTGTGTATATATATATCGCTTGTATACCATATATATGATAATATATAAATTTGTCAGTGGACTCCGCTTTGCCACTGCGCACTGTACATATTCTGATGAATGTAGAGATGCTCGCGCGAATAGAACGGAAATCTATACGACCAGACTGACGATACGTGTATAAATATACAACATAAAAATATACACATGCCCAATGTCTATATTTGTCCATTGCCTTCATTTACCTTCCGAGACTACCTTCATATTCAAGTCGCTCTTCGCGTACCGTTCCAAACACTTTTACGCCTGAGAATCCCCCTGCTCCACCTCAGTTATTCTATCATCTTAGACACACCAATAGTCTACGACACTCCACAACATAGACCTGGGTATAATGCACGCACAGATTGCTTCCACGCACCTTCGAGTCGGTCCATATGCTCAGTGCCGATCTTGGTATACCACTTGGAGAACTCTTGCCCCTGGAGCTCCTCTTGCACCATCTTCGGATAGATATACTTCATCTTGAAGTCCTGTCGGGCGTCATCCGTAGGCTCCCACAGGATTTGCTTGGTTTCACCTCCGGTTTTACCCAGCTTCTCGTTGTAGTGGTCGAAGAAGCACTTCTCCAGTAGTAAGCCCAGCGCTATGCGTAGGTGCGTAAAGAGCGATGAAAATCGGTTAACATGTCGTGGTTTCATCTGGCAGTGCTTAAGCAAGCACGTTTTAGCATCTATAGTAACATATGAAAGAGTATAAATATAGGGTATGAAGTTGGATATGAATGGAATTTGGAACCGGACTGGCTCTGGAACAGCCTGGTTCATGATCCTACACACTCACCCAAGGGCAATAGCACAGATCTCTTCTGACTTCTAAGCATCCATAAGCACAAATGTGTATGTGCATAGTGAAACAGTATACTATATGTGCGTAAAGGTGAACGTATACGTGCATACATATGGCAGTGGCCTGAATATCACTCGCCGTGTAGTGCAACAACACCTCGACTCATAAGTCTCACACACTCACCTGGGGCGGTTGGCACAGATATCTTCTGGTTTTTGAATGATTTGCTGATAATGGATTTATCTATCCCCGTGCCCTTGCAGACCAACACCATCATCCCCACCATCTTGCGGATTTGATGCAGCATAAAACTCTGCCCCTTGACAGTCAGGCGGATCACCTCGATGCCTTCGTTCATAAAGGGCTCTGAGGTCTGTAGGTGTTATAATATAGCATTGTTATTGCTAGAAAGTCTCTGTAAGAGATTGTACACGAGCAATATCAGGGATGGGAAACTCGTTCCGAATCAACCAAGATTTGCCAAACCTTATATATATATAC